GACACAAACACTATCCAGGCCTTTCTTAAAACTGCAATCAGCCCTGCAGAGGAACAGCAAGCCATAAACACCTCCACAAAATGGTTTATTTATTTCGATGCAACCTTTCCGGATACTTTTATTTTCTCTGTGTATTCTGAACAAAATACAATTTAAAAATATACCATTTCAGATATACAATAGTATAAACAACTTATCTCACAATAAAGAACTACTCCAGGGTCAGAGAACAAATTGTGTTCCAGGGGTTGTGCAAAGTAAACATAAAATACAAGCAAAGATGGAACATTTTCAAACACAATCCAAATTAAGCAAAGGATTTTCCCTCAGTTATAGGTCTCCTGGTCAGTATTAGACAGTATAAGCTAGCAAACATCCCCCAGCAGCAGTTCGCCTGAACTCATCTCTTCAGAACTGAGTGAGCTCAGGACTAATGCTAAAACACAGTTTGAAGAAAACCGATCAAATAAATGAGTAAATACCTTTAAACACAGACCAAGTCAAGCTCTGCCTGCTTTGAATTCAATTATCTCAGGATCAATAAACAAATGTTGATATCTTATCTCAATTTCAGGGTCAAATTCAGTCAAACCTTCTCAATGACAGTAACAAGTAACAAATCCAAAAGAAAATGTCACTGCATCAAAACCATTTAAACATAAGCAAACATTTTAAATTGGGATTTAATTGCTCGGTTAAGAGGAACATCATCATCGCAGCATTTGAGTATTGAGAGTGCCACCCATGCTCTAAATTAAATTATGCACATAGGAACCCGGGCTAGAAGAGGGTGGGGAAGGCACTGCACTGATATATGGGATATACAGAACTGCATTCATTCACTGGCAAACTCCCAAACATTACTGGAGCCTGATGACACTGCGTCCTGTCACAGCTTCCCACTATTCACTGACTTTACTGCTTTGTCACAATCTGCATGCTGTTAGCTGATCTGGCAACCAGAGGAATCAGAGAATTACAAACCCTGTACACTGTGATATTCATATAGAAAAATATGTAATTCCATGACTTTGTTTCATTTTATGTATTTGTTAAGCATTCATAGTCTTGCTATACTTAAACATGCTATTTACTTTTTACCTTGATTTGCTGTCCCTCCAGATGATGGGACAAAACACTCTGCAGATATTACTTCTTCTAGTTCAGGTGTGTTGTTGTGTTCTCACCCTCGTCGTTACTTCCTGATAAATGCATGTTTTGTCTCAGGGCCACATTCTACCCACTGTGGCCCACATAGTTAATCACAAATTACTTACAGAAGAGTAAGTTCAGTTTAATGAGTCAAATCTTTGTTTTCACCACATGGAAAATCCCACATCACAATCAATTCATATCCATTAACTGAAGCACCACATCTTCTCTGAAAATAAATGGCAGTGACAGCTGAACAACAAAGTTGACAGTTACACAGATGAGTCATTTAGTACTTGTCTAAGTGCACCACAAACGCTAAGGGTATCAATGTTTTCCTGACATAAATAAATAAAGCAGTAGAGTGCCATGGCCGCAACACTGAGTACTGTGACAAATATAATGGGAATCCAGAAAATGTTTGACACATTTTTATGGTTTCATTAAACTATCATTGTTGTTTGTGATTCCTGAATATTTCATAAGTATATCTGCCGCTAATGCACTGTTTTATTCCAGGGCTGGATGCACTTGCCTGTGTATTATTTTTTATTTTTTTTATAACAGTTAACAGCCTACTGTTTACAATCACATTCAATGTATAGATGAGACAATGGCACAAAGAAAAGGCCTGTAGCTGCAAGTATGGCTAAATCAGCTAACATACACTTAATAAAATGTCCATTAAAGGAACATTTAGAGTGAAATATCCTAAGCTGGTAGAAGCATTACAAAAAATATCAAGTAGGGCAAAAATCATGGTAACCACAAACCTAAAAGATGCTAATAAGGATTGCCAAGCAAGACCAACAAGTGAACCAGTTTTCTCATCAACGCTTGTAAATGTCACTCCATCACTCCGTTCCTAAATATCCCACTTCGTTCACTAAGTCTGTTTTTATTGCACAAACCAAAGCCAGATTTCATGATCACTTGCTGTGTGATTTCATTTTGTAAGCTTGTGATTGTGAAGCTTTGTTCTGATTAGTCTGCTTTTGTATTTTATGAGTGACGAAACATGAAAAAAATTCAGGACACAAGTTTTAAAATCCCCTTACAAAACCTCCTAGAAACAAATTAGATCAGGCCACAGGGAGCTGGGCAAAGACGAAAGAGAGAACATTGACCCTACACTTGTATTTCATTATGCTCTGCATCTGCAGTAATAACTGAGCCGCACAATAAGGAACAAACGCTTGTTGGTAATGCCCCCATTAACATTTTTAATGTATTATCCTGGGAAGTCCCTAGCACATGCACGTTAGTTTTTCATCTCATAGTAAGTGACAGGAGTTGGCTACAGACAGCTATCTAATGTCTAGTCCAGCCTCATCTTATCAACCCTATAAGGTTTTTACGATAAGGCTGTGGGTTTAAGTGGAGTCATCAGAGGTCAACGTTATCTTCTGTTCAATGTGTAATCTATTAGCAGTTCCCCCAAACGACATATAAGACATGCCATAAAAGGAAAGTCCTTAGCGAAGATTGACGGTGAGAAGACAGTGACATTAAATTATACTGGCCTGAATACAATATGGCATTCTAGAAGTAATAGAATGAGCAAACTCCTAACCTCAAACATGTTGACGACATCTATAAAGAAAAGGCCTAACAGCGACATAAAGTTCCTTCAATGAAAGGCCCGAGAGAGCAGAGTGATTAAACTTGCAAGAATGCAAGAGTAAAGTAACAGAGACAGAGCTGTTAGTCACTGCAGTAATGAATATCAGGACTTGTTTTTGTTGTTCTTGGTCTGTTTTTTTTGTCAGACCACAGGCTGTTGCTTCATCACTAACTGTAACTGGCTCAGTTTAGATTAAGTATTCA